TGTCATTTATCTGGTGGCCTAGCGTGCTAGAGTGTTTGGTTTCTGTCCCGTTGTTTTATTGGTTTTGGGTTCTTTGTCATTGGTCTGGGGCCACGCGTTTAATTTGTGTTAGTGTCATGGTTGGGGTTGGCGTGGTGGTTTTTATCTTCGAGTGGTTTCAATGGGGTTGTTTAAACGTTGGATGGTGGGCGTGTCCGTGGTCTCTGGGGCCGTGTTGTGTTTTTTGTCATTCCCTCTTTACCCGCGGGTTTAGTGAGGGAGTGTCATTGTTGGGGCCACGTGGTGGTGGGTTCTGTGTCATGGTTGGTTCGCCGCGTGTGTTGTCGTGTCTGTGCTGGGGACCGCGTGTACGGTGGGGGTGTGACATGTTCTGGGGCCCCCGTTGGAGGTGGGTATGTCATGGTTGGGGGCCATTATTGGTTCCCAGATTCTTTTTGTTTTTTGGTACAGGTTTTTTATTTCATATTTTCTGGGTATTGCGTGGCTGGTTGGGGTTTTTGCTTGTCTGGGGTTGTTGTGGTTTAGGGGGTGTTTTTGGGGCCCCGTTCTTTGTGGGTGTTTTGTGTCATGGTTGGGGTTTATTTTGCGGGGTGTCAGCTGTGGTTATGGCGATTTGTGTGTGTTGGTCGTCATACTGGCCGGTGGCGGTCGGAGTGGTTGATGAGGGTCTGGCGGTTCGTTAACCGTTCAGCGTTTAGTGGAGGTGTTTGTTTTTTGGTGGACACTAATTACGTTGTGGGGGTGAGCATGGTTAGTTATGGGCGCGCTGTTTGTTGGTAGGAGTGTCATTTAATAAAGGGGACTGTGACGTTCTAAGCCTTCTAAGTGTCCCATGGTCTGGGGGCATCGCATGGGCGTGTACAGTGTCATGGTCTGGGAGTGGCGTGTGTGGGAGTGTCATGGTTCTGGACAAGAAAGCGTGCGTAGCGGTTACTGTTGAGTGGTCATGGTCCTGGCCATGGCCGCGTGACATGGGGTGGGAGTGTCCATGAGTCTATCAATTGATGTTGGATAGTGAGGGATGGTGTCATGTCTGGGGCTAGTCGTCTGGTGATGTGTTGTCGTTGGTATGGGAGTCCCTCCGCGAAAGGCTAGGTGGGACTGTTACATGGTCTGCAGGCCTGTGTGGTGGTTTTGGATTGTCAATGGTCTAGGGGCTCAAAGCATGAGTACTGCCACGGTCACGGGGGATTTACAGGTTCATTGATTTAGTGGTGAATGCCAACATGTACTAGTGACCTACTTTATGGGAGCGTGAATGGAGTCACCTGGTCAGTAGGGGACCGCTGTAGGGCAGTATTCCAACAAATGTTGTGGACCCCACACACTCCCAAGAGGGTGGACACTGCCTTGCTGAGAGAAGCTGAGCGAGGGTGTGGCGTGGAACAGGTGATGTCATGGTCTCCAATTCCTGAAGCACTGTTGAGTGTCTATCTCTGGGCGCGTCTCAGTCTTGTGGAAGGTATTTAAGTCTCAAGCAGTCTGAGCATACATTGTTTGCCAGCTCCTGCGTTGGCTTTTTACGTTCATGGGGGAGGGGAAGAATAGGGATGCCAAGGTGGAGGAGCGCAAGGTCTCTAACATCCACCAGCTCCGTGATGAACGTCATGGAGGTGGGGGAAGAGGACTATTCTCAGTGGTGGAAAGCCATTGAAGCTCTGGTGAACTAACATGCCAAGAAGTGTGAAGGCAGTGGACTGGAAAAATAATGGTGAGGCCAGACCTGAAAATATTGACCTCTTTGGGCCCCAATATGTGGACCTTGTATCAACTTAGGGGTGGAGTCACTTTTGTTGCCAGCTGGTTTAGACTTAATGGCGGTGGTGACTGGCATGTGGTTGAGTTATTTTGAGGGGGGACTGCAAATTTCCCAGTTTTGTTCAAATGTACACTGACTACGTATTGTAGCAAAGTGTCATTAGTGTCTTCAGTGTTGTCACATGGAAAAGTGCATTGTATGGACACTCCGACTGATGGATCGTTGCGGGGGAGGGGGGGTTTCTGTTATAAGGGGAGGGAGTAGTTGCTGTATAAGATATATATGATACATTGTATACAGTCCGGGGGAGGGGGGGTCACTTCTGGGCTGATATATTTCATTACATTGTATGACAGTCCGGTGGAAAGTACACTGGGGGGGTCACTTCTGTGAGTTATTTATCCTATTACATTGTATTCTCGGTCAGGGAGGGGACTAGGGAGTTCACTTTGGGAGATGCTGACAATAGATAATATACATTGATATACGAATCAGGGGGGGGGGGTCACTCTGGGGGTTTACTGGATATATATATATACATTGTATACAGTCCGGGGGAGGGGGGTCACTTCTGGGATGATATATATATACATTGTATACTGTCCGGGGGAGGGGGGGCTCACTTCTGGGAGGTGCTGTATATATATATACATTGTATACAGTCCGGGGAGGGGGGGGACCCACTGGGGAATATATTTATACTTCTGGGAGATATTATATATATATATTACATTGTATACA